GAAAATTATAAAAGAATTATTTTCATAATATGTTACCGTTCTTTCGACTTTTTTTTTTCGATTATGTTCAATTATTAAAAAACTACAAGTAAAATTTTAAAATGACTCTTATTTATCAACTAGATTGAAAATACAATAAAAAATGTCTTTTGTCGTTTTTCTATTTGAGCAATATTTTTAATTGAAAACATAGTTTGCAAAAATTAAAAACAATGAAATCGGCAATGCCGCGGTGCGCCGTAAATATTTGTCATTTTACCTATAGTTTTCTTTCCGGTTTTTCCCAATTATTTTGAAAACCACTTGGAAAATCAAAAAATGACCTCTTTAATGCATCAACTATGTAAAATTTCCTTTCATACATTTCCTTGATACATTGGAGTAGGATTTTTGGTAGAATAGTTAACACAGAAAATATAACACATACATTATAGTAAAACTAATGTATATCCCTCAATATTCTTCGAATTTAAAACACTAATGAAACAATTTGTAAGTACTTTAATTGACTTTTGATTGAGAACATTTGAAATTTGAATATATAGATATAGGTATATCTACATGATTTTTTTTCAAAAGAAGATATTGATATTATTATTATTTATAAAATGTAGATATCTAAAAAAAAAAAAAAAAAAAAAAAAAAAAAATAAAAATAAAAAATGTAGTAATTTACTTAAAGTATTAAAGTCAGGTGAATTTCATTTGAGTGACGTCTATTTCGTTATATTCTCGACAGTTAGCAATTTTATTTTTCACTCGATACCGATTTCTTTTATCCTCACCAAACATAACCAGATAAATAATTTATATTTAAACATTTGACTAGCGTAAAAATTAGATGACTAGTATTTTAATTACGTATAATAATTTTTATAAGTACTCATATCCTTGTCTATATCTCTTAATATTTCTTGTGACAGTAAATATTTTTTTGGTCACTTGAAATGTTGTGTTTATGTTTTTTTTTTTTTTGTATATAGAGTCCATTTCGTAATAAATCAACCGAATAAAATGATTTGGGTATAAATATTAATGAACCGATACACGATATATCAAAAAAAAGTCTCTGAAACATTGAAGTATTCAACGGACTTGGGACTTTTGAAATAAACTCATAATACGAATAAAATAAAATATATAATTTATTTATTCATTATTACTATTAAATTACTTCACGATTTTACGTTGGCGCTCGTATAAATTAAATTCAAATTAAATGTTTCTTTTGTATAGTAGGGAGTGTGATTTGGTTATGTAGTTATGAGCAATCTTGTTACTTGTTTAGAGAATAAACTGTTTTTTCGATAATTTTTACCGCAACTGTTTGATAACTGAATGCACTTTTCGATAACCTAATGGATGGAATCAGTAAAAAATTAAAAACTAGGTTGACTATCGTCGGTTACTGGTTATCCGTGGGTAAAATACTGTACAGTAAATAGATCGCTTTCGTGATAATGCAACTAAGTAACAAACATGCAGCAATATGTTTACTGAAAACTGCATCACCCTATAATTGATGCGATAACGCGTTTATACATTTATGGTTTATCCACATTTTGTTTTCAACTTGGTTGTGTCGTCTATACACAACACCAGATTTATTTAGGCCAACTGTCAGTCCGGCCAGATATCATCATATTGTGTAAAACTTCTTTTTTATAAGAAATTGAATATTAAATTTTGACGAATATCGTAAACATTACGGCCTTTCAAAACATGTATAACCAAACTCCACTTAGAATCGTTTTTTATAGCAGCAATAATTAATAAATGCCTACAGATATACATTAAGTTTCCCTCTATATCCTACCTGACCCAACTTTTCACCTACAACAGTGTGAAGTATGTCCGCCTTCATTATTTTTTTATTTACAGACGAAATAAAATGGTTGATTTTAAAATAATTTGTTTATGTAATCATATGATGTTAATGTTTTGCACTTTCACACATTTTTCCTGCTCGAAATATTTTAAATGATTCGGAATCGTTGAAATGAAATCCGACGTAGGCGCTTTGTAAAGGTAATTTGTGAAAATAAATTCCGATAGTTTTTGAGAAACCCACTGAAAAACGACGATATTTATAGTTTACGTTTACGTTTTTGTTACAATGCACTGTAGGAATTCTCTAGATCCTTACTTTTTGACTTGAAATTTGATTATTTTGACAAACGTAATTAATCATAGTATCATTTTTTCTCGATAATATCCGTTGATTTTTAGTCCCTATATTTGTTATTGTCGAATTTCCCCTGAAAAAAGAGATTAATACATTACGTTGTATTTATGTATATATCAGGATGATTATTTTATCGTGTATTTTTTCGGAAGATTTAAAGTAAATTTTAATTTTTCACGGTTTTTTTTTTTATTATTATCAAACTCGTATATATATTAAAATAAAATAATTATAATTGGATATTTTGATTTATTTTTAATTCGGGGTTTTTCTTTTTATAAGAATATATGTATTAGCATTTTATTCTTGCAATACTGTAATGAATCGGAGTCATTATGTATTGTACCTGTCTTTCCGGCAGCAATATTCATTCGAAGGGCCTCAATGAATATTAATGCGTGGTTAGGAACCTAACCTTCCAAATATTCGTTTCCCCACAAATTATAATATTATAGGTTGCAGTTTTATATAAGTATCTATAAGGTTTTGGCAATAATTTTTGCCTGTAGGAAATATGCAAATTCAAAAGCTTAAAAAAATACTTGTTAATTAATTTGTGTTTGGGATTTATTTTAATAATACAAAGATCTAGGTAGAGTTTTTTAGTGACTATTAAACACAGATATTATATATTCGATAGGTTATGTGTACCCAATGAGTACCATGTGTACATAATTATGTAGCGGGCAGCGTTTCCGAATAAGAAACAGAAATAATAATATAGGCAATATCAAAACCATACCATCCATATCTTATACTTACCAATAAATTAATTTTTCCGTGAATTATTTCTTGTTGTCATAAGTATAGTGAAAACTAATTATATACTTTATTGGTGGGTGAAACTAAAGATTCAGGAACTCATAATAACTAATATAGCATATATATTATGTATTATCTATGCTATTAAAGTATAGTTTGAATTTGATAATTTACTATACTTACAATAATCATTTAGAAATCGTAAAGAGTCTGTTCATTTGTGCCAAAAATACTATCAGATGATTAGAAAATTTCACGACGTTTGTCGTTATTTTTTTAAATTCCGATTATTTATCGTTGATTTTAAATTTATTACGAAATAATTACAGCTACGCCTCTATAACGTTCTTTTTAAAAACTATGTTATAATATTTTACAGACAATTCGAACCGTTAAGATTTCATTCGGAAGTGCGCCTATAGTACTATAGATTTCGGTATTTTGTGTATTTTAAATATCTAAATCCATATTTATTTATTTATACGTTTAAATTATATATGTATGTATAAATAAATAAGTACTATTCAAACATGTGGTGATTTCCGGTTATCAAGAATGAAAAAACGTACACTAAACTCTTTACATTCATTTTCGTGTTTTACACCGAGCGAGCGAGAGTGAGAGAGAGAGAGGGAGGGAGGGAGAAAGAGTGAGGGTAAGTAAGTATAAGACACGATGATGTGTATGTAACGTGCCGACGACACGAGGGAACAACCGTCGTGGTAGATTAACTATATGGCGCCGAATGTTTTTTTTCTATTATCCAACACACACGTGCAGGATGTATGCTTTTTTATTCGGACAAAAAGTTTGTTTGTTATTTTTGTAAACCAAATAGAAAAAAAAAATTACACGGAACCATTTTGGGCTATAAAATAATTTCTCTCGTCCATACGAGTATTGTGTTATAGTTTCCTATTTTGTATATTAGGTTTCTAAACATAAGTTGTATGGTTACAATGTATGGTTACGGTTGTTAATTCGATTAGCAAGGAGATTATTATTATTAATCTTTATTTTATTATTTGGTTATTAATATTTTGAATTAATTTATCATTATTAACATTAAAAAGAGGTATACATTTTTAATTGGTAATCTCTGGAACTGCAGATCAGATTCTGAAAATTATTTCAGTAATAGAAAGTTACATTATAACCGAGTGACATAAGCAAAGTGACATTGTGATAAAAGCTGACACACGTGAAACTATACTGGACGGTTAGCTGTTTAAATATAAATTCGTAACATTACTATTAAAATATATTATTATCATTATTAATTTGATTATATAATTTGATAAGTACCTACTTAAAGAATTTAAAAACTTCTGGTCAACTATTACAAAGAAAGATATTGAATTTATTTAGATTTCTACACATAACAATAATATGCGACTAGTTTATTAAATTTTTTCAAAATGGTGTGATGAAATTATAGTATATTGTTTAAAACACGTTTATAAACTTAAAAATAATCTTTGTATGCTCACATATGAGACTTTCCTTTCCTAATTTGTTTCATTAATAATCTCCATAGTCATAATATCTGAGTACCTATGATTAGATACTTATATTTAAAAAGTAAACATTTTTATTTTTAAATTGAAACAAAAATACTTGTCTTTAAAATATTCGTAAACGATTTAACCAGAGCCAATTTTAAGTAAAACTAATTTTAAGTTTAAGACTATACTACAGGTACATATGATTTGCTTGTTATAAAATATTATTATTTACTGCTTACTATTCAATTATTTGATATAGACATTCTATAGTTAATTAGTCTACAATAGGCACCTATTTACTTTTGTCTTACTATTAGAGTTACAGTGTGATATTTTTCTTATGAACCAGTAACTTGCTCTGTATCAGTTTATTGTATTTTAGTTATTCGAGTTTTATGTGACTATATTTTAAAACCAGTACCTATATAAATATTAATTTAAATAAATTTCGAAATTAAATTCGATACGTCACAGATTTAAGTCGTGAAAATCGACCGTTTCTAAATATTTTGTAATTTCTTTTTTCCTTTCTAAGAAGTGTTTATATATTCTCTTACCCTAACAAACAAAAAAAAAAAAATGAAAATTGACTCCTATGGATTCCAGGAGGCGTATATTCAAGAATTCAGGGTATACCTACGTTAAAGATTTGAAGTGTTTTAATACGAGTACCTACTTAAACCTAATGTATAAATGTAAATTAACTATTTCTTGACACGCTGAATAATATATAGCATATATTATAATAATACTATCCAGAGGTATAATTGTTTTCGGGTACTATTATATTATTATTTAAATTTTATTTTAAGATATTCGAGTGGTGTTCTCACATAATAATATTTTCACCACTATAGTGTTAGGACACGTGAAATAATATTAATTATACATAGATCGATCTATACTACACAATATTGAAACGTTAAGTGTTTGTTATTTTTTATAATACTATAATTTACGTTTTGATAAAGTCACTGATGAATAAATTGCTATTATTTAACTAAACGCGAAGAGTTAAAATTTCCAAAATTCCAAACATAAAATCACATTTTTTAAAAATATTTTAATGTAGTTTTGAAACCATCCCTAATATCTAATTACGCAATTTTAACACTTTTCTAAATCATATTGTGATTCGTTCAGAACTTATAAAATAATACGACTTGACAGAAATAGCCGGGTGTGTAATTTCATTTTTTCAATAAGAGTTGCTAAAATTTGAATCAGGCTAATTTGTCCGCCTAACAGGCTATTTATATGTCCTGTCCTATTTATTTTTTGGAAAAGAAAAATTGTTTTACTCGCCTCACTTATTCATATTTCCATTACCACTATGCATTTTAATATACAAATACCATATTTTTGACATTAAATACCCAACGTCGAAACTACGGTCATAGTTTATTTTTTCATGAAATAACTCATTGTACTAAGATTTACTCCGCGTGACATCAATTTCGATGCGCACTGTTATCTTGCTAACATGCTTGTTTATTTAGCCATGAAAACAATTAACCGTGGTAACAATCGTCCGTGTCTTCTCGCACATCTCGGCTAGTTGGAACTTGGTAGATGGGATCATTGGCATTCGATTACTTTTTGCATTTTACATTTTATCAACAATGGCACAAAACCACATTTTATGGTCTATATTATTCAGTTGACTGAAAAACCATGGACACACACAAAAATTAATACTAAAAAAACTTTACATTATAGGTACGTAGGGAACTGGGCCTGAAATATATAGATATGTATTAAAAGGAAAATATAATTCAGAGTTACAGAGAAGAGACTGATAGACCTAAAGAAGAAGTACCTAAGTAGGTACTAAAATAATAATGCTTATTAAGGAAAACTTATCAATAACAACTGAATTCAACAACAAATCAATAACTGTTCATACAAATATTATCGTGTTAATATACTTCAATATGCCAAAGTTTGTTTTGTAACTAAAATACTCAATCTATTGTCGATATTGTCTGTTAAATGGATTTTAATTAAATTTATTTAAATAGTAGGTATGGACTTTTGATTGTTTTAAATATTGTGTTTGTTTTAGTACATCAACATTCAAAAAGTAAAACAAAAAGTTATCAATACTATTATATAAATAAAATTATATTTGAAAAAAGATATACCTATATAATAGAATAGTGCTTCTCAAACTTTTTATCACGGGCCCTCTAAATTCAATGTAAAACTGTCAAGGCCCCCCCTAAATCAAAATTATTAATTATTTTTTTCTTAATTATATACTAAAATTACATGCACTATTTCACACAAATAAATTATTAAAATGTATAGTAAATAAATGATTTTTAATATATTTTTAAAAATTTTTTATAATAGAATTAAACTTTAAACACATATAAATAAAAATGAATTTGTTATAACTATAAAACAATACAAAAATATTCAGTAATAATGTCGATGATTATTAATGTGACGTGTAGGCTTGCATATTTTCGCATAACTTATTTATGTCTGGTGTGATATTTGAAATTAAAATACCCAAGTTTGCTCCTAAAGATTGTTGTGAAATGCATAGTCCATGTTTGCTTTTTATAATTTGAAGTTGTGAAAATGTAGTTTCATAAAGATAGATGGATGCGAAAGGCATTAATATAAGTAAAGCCGCTTTCGAAATCACTGTATACCCTTGCTGTCGTCTTAACCAAAATTCAGTAAGTTCTTTTTCATTAAATTCGGTTTCAAGAGTTGAGTATTCTCTAATTTTAATTACTCTAATGACTCTCACGTGAAATAAAGTTTATTTGATAAACATTCCCGATGTTATAACAATTTTATTATTATTAAATAACAGTTATCTAACATTAGACTTTATCGGCAATGATTAATCATATGGTCGGTTATTTAATAACTAAATAACTGAAAATATTTTAAATAAATCAAATATTTCACGGCTCACTAGTTATAAAGCCACGGCCCCCAGTTTGAGAAGTACTGTAATAGAACATGCATACTTTAATGTTATGTTTATATTAGTTCTATAATAATACAAACGTTATACTCATACATATCCTTCGTAAAAAAAAAAAACCATAATGAATAAGTAATTTTATTTGTTTTTTTTAACGTTTATATACATATAACATTATGATTCGTAAAGTGATTCATTTGATGAATGAGACACCGGAAGCATTAAAACTATTTAAAAAAATAAAAACAAATATAGAGGTACCTACTCAACCTTGTGTGGAAGGTCAAAAGTCGTACAGGATGTTATATTACACAACGTAGGGGGTGAAAATAGTTGAAAATGACATTTATTTTCTCTGGTCCTTCCTTCTTCAGTTCCATCCCTTAGTGCTATACTTTTTTATACATAGACACTGGAGCAAGAAAAATAAGATTAATGATCTGCCGGAATAAAAAGGAGGAAGAACCGAAAAAAATAACTATCAACAACCATAAGATGATGATGGATGGGACTGGGATATGATATGTTAGGTCCGTACAAGAGCAAAAATATCGACAATAGCTCCGAAAGGACTATCCGGGTATATATTTTCCATTTCGCAAAAGGATCTGAATTAATTTTACTTTCGTAAATTTAAATTTTTCACCATTTATAGGTACCTAGTGTATTTCTCTCTAGCATAAGGTTACACAACGATGTTTACCATTATTTTTTTTTTATTACCGTATACAAAAATTCTACCAGAAATCTTGCTCTGATGTGTGACATGTAGCACCTTTTTTGAAAGAAAATTGTATCATTTTTTGATACTTCAAGCAGTTTTCATATCTATTGGGGAAAATTGGAAAATTTAAAAAATATGTTATTTTTTATATTGTTTATGTTGTGATTTAGTTTAAAAGATTCATAGAGATTTTAAATTAGGATAGTTGCTTTTTCTAGACGTAATAAAATTTTCAAAATATTTGAGCCATTTTTGAACTATTTATAGACATTTTAATTTTTGCTTAACGTAACCTGTACGTAATTTGTAGTTAGTAATTACCTGATTAGTGAATACAATTGTTAGACTTAACAGAAATACTTGAACATTTAACAGGAGGTTCATTTTAAGTTGTACTTAATGGTCTACAAAAAAAAAAAAAGGTTGAATTTTATGCAGTATTATTTTTTTATAAGAATTTTAATATTTTGATAAAAAACGTAAATATGTAAATAAGCAATGATTAATCGTTGCGTACAAATATACATTAATTTTCGCCTCTTCCTTCCCAACTTCTCACCTATATAGTGGCCCACCCATCGTATAGAGTTTGTCCGTCTTTTTAATCTTATAAGTGAATAAGTAAGTCATTTTTAAATTTTTTAAGCTGTTTTCATATTTAGGAAAAATTCACTTTTTATATATTTGTAGCAATTTTTGTATGCTATTTTTATACGTAGTTTAAATTTGGTATATACTATATAGATATAATTGTTTGACAGAATTACTTGAATATTTAACAGGTGTTTCATTATAAGTTGTACTTAGTACTCAACAAAAGAGTAGAGATGCAGAGAATGTAGTTATTTTTTTTATACCTTTTTTTTTTTTTTGATAATAATTGTAAATATTACGGCTTTTTAAACCATATATTTATATATATATATATATATACGAAATTTACTTCAGAATCGTTTTTTTTTTTTTTTTTTTTAAGCGATGATTTATCGTTCCTTAAAGATATATATATATTAAACGATTTATATCTCCTACATTCCCAACTTCCTACAGTAGTGACGCACCCATCAGCAATGTTATCTCTTTTAGATTCCGCGCTTAGCGAGCAGGGAGCTATTGGTTTTATTAAGATGTTTATTTTTTCTTTCTTTGTTCTAGTCTGTAGACACGTTTTTCTAGTGAAATTGCTCGATTTTTACGTGTAGCACCTTTTCTGAAAGCTCAAGTTGTCTAAATGGTACTTTAAAATGTAATTTTTTGATTTTTGATTTCATTTTTTAAATAAAAGCACTTAAGTGGGAAAAAACGTAGGAAAACCTACAATTTCACGATTTCATTATTTTATAAAAACACGGACACGTTTTCCACTAGAAAAAATGATTTAATCGAAAAATCGCAAGGTATTTTTTTTGTTGTATTTTTGATTTAGTTCTTAAAGTATCTTTGCCAAAACTTTTGAGCTACTTTTGAGCTTTTAAGGAATTTTAATTTTTAAGAGTTGTTTTGCTGTAATTCGGTTATAAATACACGTGGAGACTTAAAACTTGGTAATAATACTTATATTGGACCTAACTAGATGTGGTAAAATTTCCCAAATAATCGGAAGACTTTTTTTTTTTAATAAGCGTGTTTTGGAATCAAATTCAAACAAAAATTGCAAAAAAAATTACGGCACTTCAAATTATGTATTACCGAATTGCGCTTGGAATCGTCTTTCATCAGCAATGTTTTATCGTTGTTTACAGATATAAATGAAATAACCTTATGTATCCTACTTTTCCAACTTCCAACCTACAACAGTGGCTGAACCCGTCCCCAGTATCAGCTTTTTCTGTGTATACAATTTGAACATTGTATAGTTAATTGGAAATTTTTAACTTCACCTAAACTAATGTTTCCGGATCAGATAAATACAGTAGGTAAGATCACATTAGCAATATTAAAATTGCTCTCTCTCTCTCTCATATACAATCACAGAAACCCATGAATAGAAATAATTAATTTATATAAAAGATAAAGTATTGTTTTTCTAAATCATTAGACGAAAATTAAAAGATAATATACATTTCGTTCTCTAAATATCGTAATAATACAAGTTTCATGGAAAAT